ACTAACAGAAGGTAATCAGAGTTGGCTATAGGTATCACACCCTCCCCTGTGAACACGCAACAAATGTCTCTTTTTATTAGAGCAGCTGCTCCTGAAGCGGTCTCTGACCAGGCCTGCCATTACTAGATGACACACAACAGAATTAGTGAGGATCCTAAATGCATCATGTGTCAGCTAAAATGATGGCTTTCATAATGAGTTACAGGCTCCATATTTTCATACAATAATGATAAATTTGTAAAAAGGCTTTTGTCAAAGCATCTAACAGCAAGCTTTGACAATAAACAATATAATATTCATAGTATATACAGTGCTCTGAAAAATGTGTTTGCCCCTCTCTGATTTCTTATTTGTCGCACTTACATGTTTCAGATCATCAAAAAAAAATGATATTAGACAAAGATGTGCAGTTTTTCTATTCTGCTGTGGGAAAAAGTAATTGTCCTTGGCTGTTCAATCATGAATTAACTGTGATGAGACACATGTTTTGAAAAAAACTGAGTCCAGCATCATGAGCCACTCCCAGGTCTGATTACTGCCAGACTTGTTTAATCAAGAAACCACTTAAACAGAAACTGTCTGACAAAGTGAAGTAGCCTAAAAGAGCTCAAAAAGGAACACATAATGCACTATCCAGAGCAATTTCTAAGTCTTTGGGACTCTACTGAATCACACTGAGAGGCATTATTAACACATGGAGGAAACTGGTGAACCTTCCCAGGAGCGGCCAGCCTTGCAAAATTACTCCAACAGTGAATCAATGGCTCATCCAAGATGTCCCAAAAGACCCCAGAACAACATCTAAAGAACTTTAGGCCTCACTTGCCTCAGTTAAGGTCAGAGTTCACGGTTCAACAATAAGAAAGAGACTCGGCATAAATGGCATCCATGGGAGAGTTGGACCAAAAAGAACACAAAGGGTTGTCTCACATTTGGCAAAAAACATCAGCAACTCGACCTTTGAGTGTCTTAAAATAAACAAAATGAAGGTTTTGAAGTGTCGTACTCAAAATCCAGAATTAAATCAGATCGAGATGGTTTGGTATGACTTTAAACAGTTCGGCCATGCTTGAAAACCCCCCAGTGTGGCTTAATTATAACAATTCTGCAAAGAAGAGTGGGACAAAAATTCTCCATAACAATGTGAAAGACGTATTGCTAGCTACCACAGAAGCTTGATTGCAGTTTTTCCAGCCATGTGTAGCACAACCAGTCATTAGGTTTGGGGGGCAATTACTTTTTTACATTGGGCCAGTTAGGTTTGGATAACCGTTTCCCATCTGAGAAATCATAATTTACAAATTGCAATTTGTATTTACTCTGGATATCTTTCTTCAATATGAAAATTAGTTGCTTGGATGATCTGAAATGTGAAAGTGTGATAAATATACAGAAAATGCACCACAGCACTGTATGAAATAACACTGTCTTTTGTTATATGTAGTCAATAATACTATAGTTTTCGTTCGGATGCTAACTGGCAGACAGCTTCCAGCTCTTTTAAATCACTTTCTTGTCTGTGGTTTGTGAAGTGCTGCAGCAGCAAAACTTTATTTGATGTGAGCTGCTGCCTCCAATCATCACACAGCACACTGCTGGGATGTTTTTCAGGGAGTGCTGCAAACTCATCAATTCTAGATTCAGTTTAATTTGTCTGAATCCTACGTTTTTAACATCTCTATATGGACACATGTTCTTGCAAATAAGATAACTTATGGTTTTGGTTATTGCATTTGACTCTGTGGAGTTATCAGCTCATGTGCTCTGGAGACTAGCGTTGTTGTTACTGGTCTTAAATTGACTGCTTGTGCACCTTCCTTTACTGTGACTGCGAGTGCCATTTATCTTTGTTTTGACAAGGTGTCGCTTTTAAAAGTGAGTTATAAAGTTTTCGCTACTTCGAGTATACAGGGGTGTGGGATATGTTTTGCAAACTGTAGATGTTTGATGTATCTTACATTGCTTCGGTACTGAAACTGGCCAGCGAGCTACTTTTGGATGCCTAATAATAAGCTCAGGAGATACTAATAAGGGAGGCTGTGCGACTCATACACAGGGGACACAAACAGGAAAATGCTGTTTTGCTATCTTAAAACAATTGTTCTTTAATATCCAAATTTTTATTATTTTTTAAGGAAGTCAGACACATCGGACAAATATAGTTGCTACATCCTAGTTTAGTAACATTTACTGCATTCATTTAAATCGAGCATTTATATTAAAGCACACAATTTTATATTCTGCAGATCAATGCAAGCTTTTTTTTTCCCTTTTACAAGTTAATTTCCTTTTGCTCAATAAAACGCACATCAGTGCACCTTGAGGATATTCCACCTGTCTGTCAGCCGTCACATCACTAAGCCGAAGGGCTGGTGGAGGTGTGTGCATGGGCGTGCACGTCTGCCTGTATGTGTGCGTGGCTGCAGGTGTGTGTCCACTGGTGCTCGTGGACGCCCTGCTGTTGTCATGATAAACCAGTGACAGCTGTCATCCTGCAAGCAGCTCATTCCCATGGTGTGGAAACAGGCACACGCACACACACACACACACACACACACATACAATTACACAAGCATACGCATACACAAACAGATCACTGTTCATTGCACTCCTGCAAATGTGATGGGGTCTCAGTAGGTCTTGGTTCGGTGTGTTGGGTCATTTACACAAATCTCCTTACCTGTCGAGCTGAGGAATGAGAGTCTGCCTGGATAACTGAATGGTCTGTCTGTCAGTGCCTGCCCTGCCTGCCTGCCTGCTTGTCTGTCTGTCTGTCTATTTGTATGACTGACAGGTTCAAGGGCCTGTGTGAATTGTGTTAAATTAATAAATTGTTAACAAATTAATAATGCATGTCTGTGCTTCATTCTCAGCACATCAGCACCTGTAGTTCGGGACAATGCACAACATTTTATTTCCATCTCAGCAAATGTGGAACACCGCTTAATGTTTTGACACAGGCACCATTACTAATGACACAGAATCAGTGGAAATGTGTATTGTTCCTAACTTCATACTCTGATCTATTAAAAAAAGGAGTCTGGGTCTATTTTAAAATTCATTTTAACCACTTATTTGATTCATTCTGTTTCTCATTTCCTATCTGGTGCTGTTTGCACCAACACTTTGCCTAATTCAATCTGATCTCTATTTTTGTTTGCTTGTTTGTTTCACTATATTTCTGTTTGTCTCTATTTGTTCCTATCTATTTATGTTCCCCTGTTAGCCTCTTTGTATTTCCTGTCTCTACTCAGTGTTCTGTCCGATTTCTAGTATCTTTTAGTAACGTTTCTATTCATTTCTATGGGTCACCATCTGTTGCTAGAGTCTGTGAGTCTTTGACCAAAGTTATTCTCTTCACCCATCCTGTGGGTGGAGCGTGGTTTGGTCCCTACCTTATCTCTGTCATCTGTACATGCATCCCCCCCCGGGGCAGCACTGCCTGGATGAGCCAGAAAAAGCGTGCATGTATACCTGACAGTGCCTGTCTACACTCTTGTAAAGGATATGTCTTTTTCACTATATCAGTGAGTGCAGTTTAAGGGACGCGCATTTGGTATTCCTCTGTCGTGTCTGAAACTGAACTATGTCAACATGGGAATTCCATTTAATTGAGTGTCATCCCAAATTGCACTTGCTGGTATGTACGAAAACGCATGTCTGCTTTAAGAGTGTGCTACATGCAGTATTGCCTCTTTTATGTATATAACTATAAATTATACAGGTATAATTTATACCATGTTTAAAGTTTGACGCTCTCCGAAAAAAAGGTTCAACATTGTATCTTTTCTCACTGTGATACTGGCAAGGCTCAATTTGCTTTTGATAAATACTGTTTAAAATGCAAAAAATAAGCATTTTCTTTGTAATATCCTGAAATGAATTGGGTATTTAAAACATATGTGTAGATAAAAGTATTTTGAAAAAGTGAATTGAGCACACTCTTCTGAAATAAGCTCCCATACAGCCAATGTCCCAGTGACACAACAAGGTCCAATGTAGTATGTTTTTTTCTCACTGAGTGTATCTGTATAAATTATATGTGTATAATTTATGCCGTGTGCACAGCGCAATCCATGTGTCTTTATCTGTTATACAATAATCAGTACTACTGTCAATTTGACAATGCTCGAAATCAGATGTGATCACCAATTAAAGAAAATCAGGCAAATCGATTTTCACATCTGTTCCATATGTTTTGAACCAAATCAAGGTTTAATTGAAAGATTAACTTTAAAAAAGCCAATTGGGAAACATTTGAATCTAAAGTTCCTAGGTGGTGATTGGAGGAGACGAGAGCGGAGCTCAGGAATTGGAGAAACTGGAAACTTACCCTATTATTGGAGGAGAGGACAGCAGCTCTGGGTGTGACAGGAACTGCAGCCTAACCCTTAAACCCCACTTCTAATTCTAACTGGCTAAAAAAAGCAATAATTTTCTATGACATGTACAGACTTAAAGGCAGATAACTTATAGTCCATAAAGGGCTGTTCAGAGTATCTACTGTACGTGCTAATTTTCATATCTGAAATGCAATGTGAGAGCTCCATATTTCCAAAATATGGTTTTAACATGACTTTACAGTTGATGTGTCATGAGAAAGTTATCCATCTCTAACAATCCAGACACAGCATAACAATCACACTGTAGAGAAAAGAGTGAACCTGTAAGACTAAAAATTACAGTGACTGAGAAAAATCACTTCTTAGAGGGAGAGAGTTGGGGAGTTGGGCTGGCTGAACTTTAATCCGTAAGATTGATTAAGAAATAATGTTAGCTATATTGAGAATGAGATCTTAATTGCTAATTTGGTAAACAGACAGAATCGATTATACTAAATTGTCGATTGACTCACCCAGTCTAATATAGCTGTGAAAATTAAAACAATTTATTCCAAAAGCAAGAAATTCAATTTAAAAAAAAAAAAAAAGTCCGCCCCTCGGTCCCTCCTCCTCTCCCTAATCCAGGTTTTCTATTTGTCACTCTGATTTGATTGACAGCTGAGGACACATGTGGGGGCACTGTGAGGGGCGGCAGTGGGGTGGTGACCAGTCCCGGTTACCCCGGCAACTATGGTAACCAAGCCGACTGTACTTGGATCCTATTGGCCGAACCTGGAGACACCATCTCTGTCATCTTTACAGACTTCCAGACAGAGGAAAAGTATGACTATCTGGAAGTGGAGGGATCTGAACCACCAACCATTTGGTGAGTCGTTGTATTCACTTTGCCATGCATGTGTTTATGTCCCCATCAAGGTATTGCTGGGAAAAAGAATTGCTGACTTCTTAAGTTGCAGTCGTTAATTGCAGAATGAAAACGACCTACAATTTAGTGTTAAATTGGGAGAAAAAGAGGTGCATGCAATCAGTCCTGTGAGCAAAATGAAAGCAAGCTGTAGATGCTCTTATTGCAAAAAATGCCTTTTATGACAAGCAGTAAATGGTGGCTCAAACACTTACCAGTAGAGCTTCATAGAACCTGCAGCTGGCCAGTAAAATAAAGAGTATAGCGGTTACAAGTTCCTGGTATATTTGTTGTCTTGTATAAAAAGTGGTGCTGGTTAAAAATTTTACTTTAAAAAAACCTATTTGGTTGACATTTGAGATCTGACATTTCTGCAAAAGCAGGTGTAGACACGTAGTTGCTGAGTTTATGGTTCAATTCAACCACACTTGGAGTACGGTAATAAAAAGTTAGAATGGGTAATAAAAATAAGCTAGAACTCAAGTAAGAACAGGTAATAAAAAGAAAACATTATTATAGATATAAAAGTACAGTTTTTATGGCTTGTTTTGGAGGTATAACAGTTTTGACCTGTGACCTGTGTAAGTGTGTGGGCAACAGTTTCATGTACAATATTTGGGCATGATACTTGTGTACCTCACAGGAATTAACCGATCTGTGCTAGTTTTATAACCCCATGTTTTCAGATGGTTTACTCATAACAATATTTTATCGCTCTGGCTGTTTATTGATTGTTGTTAAATTAGAGTATTGATCAGCCATTGCCTTTGCTGTAACCAATTTGAATCTAATCATGCCTTCGAATTGGAGTGTAGGCATGCCTGTGTTGTTGGAAGGAAGTAATAATAGCCAGCTACCTGCTTTTAGGAAAGTGTAGGTGTATCTAGACAGGCGCTCACTTGTGTGATACTTGGAATTATGTTAAATGAAGTCAAGCTATGCTGGTCACATTTCACACATATCCCAAATTGTGATAGTCGCTATATATATAACTTTTAAGATGACACATTAAAACTAATATTTACATATTTAGGAGAATGCATTAAAAGCAAAAGAACAACATACAAATATTAGCCTGTAAAAACTAGCTTTACAAAAGCCATAAGAAGTCTCCAGTGATGTGTTCTGCCAGTTTACTTTCTTGTACTATAGAATGAAATATGCATTGATGTACTTGTGTTATCATGCCCGATGGCCACAAATTCACAGTGAGGAAAAAAAAGAGCACTAATATTTTCAAATACAATTAAATAATTTGTAACAAATTTTCAGCAAGCATAAAGCCATTTAGGTAATTTGTATCTTGCTTTCACTTTAAACCAGAGGCAAATACAGAACCTTACTGCTGTAAAAACTCACCTTCTAAGAATATTTACAACCACTATTTATGGCTCAGTTAGCTTGTTGGCCTTTGGGGGAAAATGTGGTGCTGGCTGGTAGTGTGTGATTTAGTCTGACTGCTGTCTTGGCTCATGTAATATATTACTGTTTAGTTATTTACTTGCTGAATTAACTCTGGAGTCACATACTAAGGTCGCTGCATAGGTTGATTTTCTCATATCATGGGTCTTCTCTGGCAGTCGGGTTGGTCATGCGGTTATAGTTTTCTACTGAGAGGAAAACAGAGACAATCTGGTGTACAGCCTGGAACAAAACTGTTACCAACCTGTCCCGATGCCAATAGAAGCACCTGCTAAACATTTACAGTTGAGGTTTTCTTTGAGGTCAGTGTTTTCTGACAGCCCAACAAGTTTTGATGCATTACATTTAGCACATGTTTAAAAATATCTGTCAGTCCGGTGGATAAATGTATAGCTGAAAACCAGGAGGGACTTAGCATGTCGGTTCTAGGTCTGCATTTCAAACAAAGTATCATACATTGCTGTGCAAAGTCTTGAGGCACCCCTTATTTCTTTATTTTTTGCCTTGAAAATGGGAAACAGGTGCAGCACATTTATTTATTTTATTTATTCTTCAGCACAGCCGGAACTCTCTTAGGTAGCTTTCTTGTAATTTCTTGAAGTAGTCTTCAGGAATAGTTCTCCAAGCTTCTTGGAGGACATTTCAATTCTCTTTGGATGTTGGTGGCCTTTTGTTCTGCTCCACAATGCTTCAATAATATTGGGGTCTAGGCTCTGGGGGGTTTTCTATCCAGTATACTTTTAGTGCATTGGTGATGTGTTTGGGATCATTGTCATGCTAAAAAACACAAAAAAACAAACAAACCTATCTTTCTCCCTGGTTTCCTTCCTTATGAATGGCTTCTTGAGAGCCACCCTTCCACTGAGACCATTTCTGATAAGGCTTCAGTGAAGAGTAGATGGATCAACTGAAAGGGCAGATGCATCTCCCAGGCCTTTGACATTGCTTTCAGCTTCTGTTCATCTGCTTTAGATTATTTTTTAGGCCTTGCTTTCTTCTGACCACTACTCATGCTAGGGCCTTCATCTGGATCGGAATTTTCTCCAGGACCCAGGTCAGACTGACAACTTTTTCTTTTCAAATATTTATCGATTGCTATGCTGAATTGTCTCACCTGCATGACTATTATGTAATTTCTTCTTCGTCTTCTTCTGTTTTACTGGCAGTTGGCAACCCATTTAATTAGAGCAGGTAGTTGTACTGCCCTCTAGTGGAAGAGAATGTAATTGTTCTTGCTGTTACTCAGGCCGGTCGCTTAGGCTACGTTCACACTGCAGGTGTTAATGCTCAATTCCGATTTTTTGATCAAATCTGATTATTTTGTCTGCTTGTTCACACTACAAATAAAATGCGACAGCAAACACGCTCTAGTGTGAACGCTCAAAGCGGCCCGCATGTGCAAAAGAAGACATCACACACAACGCACTCTGTTTAGACCCAGAGCAAACAATATTGTTTGACTGATGGCCCTTAATATAAAGACTTCGGACTTTACGTTTCCCAATTTTTGCTTTAAGTTATTTTGTTATTTACATAATAATGTAGATAACCTAATAATTATCCTTATTGCTGTTTTAGAGAGGAGCGGTGCTTCAAAGGATAGTTGCAGATTTCTGTCAGAATCTGCAGATTACACAGTACAAATAAAATGTTCACGTTTCTCCAACGTTGTCTTACCAACAGTTTCACTGACATCTACACTGGATGGCCAGGAAGCGTTCGCGATGTCTTATTGGGCGCTTCTCCGGAGCTGATAATTGGCATCTGTCTTGTGTCAGTGACGTAAAAGACGGATTTAATGCGACTTGACCATTCAAACAGCAGTCGCTTTCTAAAACATCGGATATGTATCGGATTCAGTACCACATACGAAAGTGACCCAGATCGGATTTGAAAATATCGGATTTGTGTCGTTCACGCTGTCATACCATGATCGGATGTGGGTCGCATAGGGTCAAAAAAATCGGATTTGATGCGCTTTCGCCTGCAGTGTGAACGTAGCCTTTGTGTACTAATCAGGTGGAACCAGATAATCTTCCATGGCAAACCTGACCATTTCTCACAGCACACCTATGTGCTGCGGCACACTGGTTGGGAAACGGTGAGATAGACCATGCTGATAAATGCTAATTTTGTGACGAATAACTCTTTGGGAATAATTTTATTGTTGAAAAAATATTGTTTTAAGCCTGTCAATCTGTGTTGTATTTTATTTTCCATAGATTCAGCTCTAAAAATGTAATCTTATTGTGTGTTTTGGTGACAGGCTGCTAGTAACAAATAGCCTAAAGATACAGTGAAAATTGTCAGGTACAAGGACTGGAGTGAACATGAGTCAAAAAGCAACCAATGTCCAAAGAAAACCTCTGAAAGACCTTCAAGGAACACTTAAAAGGCAGGAAAGTATTCCTCTTGGAAGCAAAATACAAAGAATTAATTGGTGATTCAAGACTTTTGCAGAGTTCTATACGTATAAGTCTTCCCGTCTAACATTGATTGCCTCGTGGCTTGACAAAATAACAATTTCACTTTGTCACTTTGATCTTTTTTTTAAATGCAAAGTTATTTTTCCAATAAGTTATTGAGCCCAAACAAATTAGATTTTCCAGTTAGCTTCAATTCAGAGAACAGATACAAATCACATCCATTCATGTGTTTGTGTTTTGTTTTTTGTTTAAGTATCCATGCTGGTTTGCATGCGAGTAGATTATTTTTTCATTGACTGTCCTCTCTGTCCTCATAGAAATTCTTGAAACTTGATATTGACAAAAAGTCACTCTGTCAACAACACTGTTCCCATGCCCCCACTCTGTAAACACTGTCTTATCAGAATGATTATAATTATGGAAGGGAGGAACACATTAAAATAACATTAAAACAGTTGAGCAGGTAGCATGCTTTATATTTGAAGTCAGCAACACCTAAAGGCAATTTCTGTTATAAGAGATTTCTGTTTATGCACTGCATTAGGAGTCCAAAGAAGCCGATCTTATCAGAGCATTTGTGGGAACGGATTACACAGACATTCTTTTGAAGTGATCTTGACAATGTCAATGCCATTAGCACCGTTAGCATTCAGCAGAAGGAAAATCAGGCCAGCTGTTTCTGGTTAAATTGACAGGAGCCTGTTGACAGTTGTTTTTTCTTTGTAAATGTTTTTTTCCCAAAGCCTATTTGAGGTAAGACATCCAGATTGCAAAACATGCCCAGATGCTTTGTAAAAATAAAAAAAGGCATTACTTTAGCTCGTTTTTGAATTCATACAGCAGTGGTTAAAGCCAGTGACAAGAATTTATTAGATTTTGTTACTCTGAAGAGGTTTGTATTATCACTCACTGTATTACTGCTATTTGGATCT